ACAGCAGCTTTCAGAAGGTATTGCAGTTTATGTAAATATAGTGATGTAATTAAAATGCACCTTCAGAACGCTTGAAGAACTAATGTAGATATTAAAAATCTAATACCAGCCAGTAGTGGTCATTTACTTTTAATCTCAATTACTTTTCACGTATGTATACTTTAATATTATTGAAATAAGCCTGTAAATTTGGCAAAGTACTTACAATGCAACTTTTATTCTTAGCACATTGCAGAAGTCAGTATCATTGTTCCTTGTGGCCCAGCAAAGCAAAATATTTTTCCAAAAACCATAGAACATCGTGCTTTTTTATTGAAATTCTCCCCGACTCAAACCACAACAAATTGATCAGGAACATGAATATTTCTGGTTTTCTTCCCGTCATTTAAGTGGCAGGTAGTCTGGGGCAGCATTTATACAACATATAACCTCAGTCTAGTCCTTCAGTCCCTTTATTGTTCCTGCAGCAAGTACAAGTTCAGACAATACCACAAACTGATGTGACTTGAATCATCACATAAAGGATTATAAGAAAGGTTTTCTGTAGCTCCTGATAGAAATGTGTTTGTCATTGTAGCCCAGTCCCTTCTTTTCACCCCTGCAGAGTGTGATGGCACATGGTTGCTTGAAGTTCTGCTTACAGTGCCAGATCATGAATTACATTTGTGTTTGCAAAAAAATTGGAAGAATTGAAGCTCTAATGGACTGTGAATGATTTTTGTTTCAGAGATTGGGTCCACCAAATACTCTGCATTTGCTAGTCAGAGATGTGAAAAAGGTAAGCTTAACTAACAGCAGCATTACATTTGCTGAGCCAACAGTAAGCATAGCATGGGGGAAAGCAGACTTTTGAAATTAGATGGTAACCGTTAAGAAAAGTTAAATTCTTGTGACAAACAGTGATGTAAGTCTAAATCAGGTATGGTTATATAGCACAGCTAGTAATTTAAAAACTAAGGAGAGGAAAGTTAAGCTCCTAGTGGTGTATTATATCATTTGAGATTTAGGTTGATACTGCTTCTTGGCTACAAGAAGCTCCCAATGCAGCATTACAAGGGAGGAGTGGAAGGAAAGGCCTGCTAGGTTAACTGGAAGCTCCACTCACAAGCACAGAATTTGTTCCCTTTTGTTCATTTCCTTGTGTGTTTTTCAGTTACTTTTCTCCCATCCATCCTACTTTTACCTGGGAGAAAATCTGCTCTATTTCTCAATGCTACAAGTCCTAAATTTGTTATTCATTTGTTTCCATTACATGTAAATTTATTCATTATACATAAATAGGGTCATTGTAAGATTTGTTGTGGTATTTGCTCTCTTTAAGGTTTTGGAGCTTTTATTCAGTAAGATTCAGCTGCATGTAATAGCCTGTATTGGTTTTTGCCATGAAAACTCTCATTTATTCCTGGGAGGTTTTGATGTGAGAATGATGCAGTACTGGGTTAATGTATAATTCATATTGTTCTGCTTCATAGTTTAACACTTTTCTCATTCAGTGTTTGTCTTTTTGATGTTACTAATGCCCTTCTGCATTCTGATTTCTGTCTGTCTCTCCTTTTCATTGCATTTTCATGGTTCACTCATTCAGCGGCAGTCTCGGGGATTTGGTTGGGTTAACATGGAGGTGATGTGTTTGCTTAGGATATAGTTGTTTGATCATAGCAACAGCTCCGTGGTGCTGTAGAATCAGTTATTGTTGTAGGATGTAGCCTGAACAATGAAACCAGTTTTCAGCTTGTGATTCTAGCAGAGTCAATATCACTATCCATTTTTTGAGTGTAACAATGGAAATTATAGTCTGCCTTTTTTCTTTGATTCTGGGCAGCACGTTAATCTAAATCATGTTCTGCATTGTAGTCTTAACTCTGTAGATAATATTACGATGAAATATAAGTTTCCATAAAATCTAAAGTATGCCTGATATTCACCCTGAAATTAAGTCATGAAATTAATGATAATCTGTACAAAGTTACTTAGTTTCATCAACATAACTCTTGTAAACCACTCAGGCTTGTATGGACACTGACATATTGTACAAGCAAATCAAATTAAAATTTGTCCTCAACAATGAACACTGACAACAACAAAACAAAAAAAAAATCTGCCCCCCCAAAATTTTCATTATGTCAATCAGTTATCATTAATTTCGTACAAATATCCAGAGACTAAAACCAGTGGCTGTAAATAATACCCATGTGCCAATTTAAACATGATGATATGTCTAGCCAGGCAATTTAATATGTATTTTCTTACCCTAAGTCCTTATTTTGCTATTTATATTTTATTATTATTTTTTGGTAGGGAAATCTTCCACCAGATTATCATATCAGCCTAATAGATATTGGTCTCGTACTTGAATATCTCATGGGTGGAGCTTATCGCTGCAACTATACTCGAAAAAGTTTTCGGACTCTTTATAATAATTTATTTGGACCAAAGAGGGTAAGTATGAGTTCATTCTGGATGTGGCCATTGTGCTGACGGTAAAAAATAAGTTACTACTCTGTTCCTTTGTCTTTGTGAAACACTACATGTTAAATTCTAAAGAAATGCTGCAAGATTGAAGTTCAAACTCTGGTAGTGAAATATAAGGATCCTGTTAAACATTTGTGTTAAAGGATGGGAGGACCTTACAGCAGCCTTTCAGTACCTCAGGGGGGCCTGCAAGAAAGCTGTGGAGGGACTGTTTACAAGGGCACGCAGCAATAGGTCGAGGGGCAATGGTTTTAAACTAGAAACGGGTAGATTTAGATTGGGTGTTAGGAAGTTCTTTACCATAAGGGTGCTAAAGCACCTCTTTGCCCAGAGAGGTGGTGGAGGCCCCATCCCTGGAGATATTCAAGATCAGGCTTGATGGGGCTCTGGGCAACCTGATATAGCTGAAAATGTCCCTGCTCACTGCAGGGGGGTTGGACGAGAGGGCCTTTGGGGGTCCCTTCCAGCCCAATGCATTCTATGATTCTATGACCCAAAAGGTGGTAAACACATTGATCTGGAGGTGAATTTCCTCCTATTTCAGTAGTTTACAATCCAAGCATTTCTAACTGTGGTGTTAGTATATTTACTTACTCATACTTGAAGCTGTAGCTCTCTTATAACTGTAAACTGTATTGGTCAAGCCAAGTCTATTGATTAAGTAATTATAACCAACAGTAGTGTAACTTGGGTAAGGCAGAGATCTTAGTCTGAATACAAAAGAGCTATGAACCTATTAGAGTAAGTCCTGTAAAGAACTGCTCTGAGTATAAATCTTACTCTACGGAAGCCACTGCAATCTCAGAAAAGGATTTCATATTCATGTACCAATCCTGAGAATATCAAGCATGGCCCTTGCTTTATTAAAAAGCGTGGTCTAATCAAATAGAATGATTTTCTTCATGGGATTGCTTATTTGATGGTTCAGCTTTGAAGATCAAGTGAAGCTTCCTAGTCTAATTACAGAAAGCCCCATACTAGGAAACACACTAGGAAACTAGCCCCACAAATGGTCAGAAGGCCATTCAAAGACAAATTATTCTGTAGCCGATATATAGAACATATATAGTGTTGTACTGTATGATGGAACAAATAAACCTTTTACATAAAATACAAAACAGAGATTTCACAATAGAACAGAGGTATTTTTTTAAAGGGAAATTGTGAGAGGTTTGAAGACCTATTATAATTTTACTTTCCTGTGAGTATCTTTTGTGACCATGTGATTTTAATTCTCAAAGCAGTATATTATTGAATAATTCATTTAACTCTTCCATCTGAGTACAAATATTTCACTTGAGTGCAGGATGGAAAATATTTTCTAACCCATTGCAATCCTGCAAATACAATTAAGAGGGAGATTAATTAATTGCACCATTATTGGCACAATTACTTATAATAATAAGTTTAATAATAAATACTGTACATTTATAAATTAAAATGTCTTTTTCCTGGGTATTGTTTGGTCTTTGAATTTTCCCTTCCATCTAACTAATTTTCTTTTCTATTTTTAATATTCAGCCAAAAGCTCTTAAACTACTAGGGATGGAGGTAAGTTGGATTTATTGTAAAATACCGGTTTTATCACAGCATTTCTAGGTACAGTACTGCTCTTGTTCTTAGCTTTTTCACTATTACTGTGGCTTAAAGTAAATTTCAACTAGACAGGATCTTCCATTTGCAAACAGCCTGTGAAATACTTCTGATTTTTTTTTTTATGGATAGGGTCTTAAGAGCTGCTTAAAGCTTTGCTCAATAGTCATCAGGCAGTCTTTAGCACCGTTATGTAATAACACATGCCATGTTGGAACACATTGTAGATTTAATCATTCAAATGTGAACATCAATGATATTGAAAAGAGAAAGTGATCCAACAATGCTACTTATGGTCAAATCTCTTTAACCATGAAGTAAGAATTTACGTGCAAATGAGATTTTACCATATAGAAAACATTTAGCTGGAGTGAAAAAACAAGGTGGTATGACATGTTAGATGCTGTCCTCCACTATAAAACATCCTTGCTACTGTGATGGCAGTATGCTTTGTAAATGATGAAGCTGATGGAGAAATTTGGGTCCGACCCCTGCCTCAATTACTTGGGTGTCTGCAGAAATTTTGAGTTGATCAGAATCGAGCCTAAAAACTCAGTCTGTTTCGGAGATGGTTGCTTTTTGTTTCTGAAAAAGTATTAATATAGACCAGGAAAGGATTTACACAAAGAAGCTGGGTAAATTTCTCTATGAAGTATGCTTTTATTAGTGCTGTGATAGTATTTGAACACAGTGTATGTCCATGTTGCTTGTGTTACATTTGATATCAACGATACTCACACACAAAAGCCTCTATTTGCCCAAGCAGATAAGCAGCTTTCTTCTCTACAAAGTCCAGGTTATGTTTAATTTCTCTGATCAGCTTCCTGTTTTTCTAATGGCTCAAGGCCAAAAGCTCAGCCCCTCCGAGGTGCAACCCTTTTTAATCGGCATTGATCAGACGTGGGTTGCCTGGAGCTTCTCCAAAAGCACATTTTGATTTTCCTATTCTTTCAATGAAAAATGTTTTCTGCAGCACAAACTGAAGTGTTTTCTCCACTTGACAGTGGGTGTAGGCCACTCTCTTCTTCCAAGAGAAAGAAAAGGTGAAAAGAAAAATGTCTTTTGCTGAAGTGGTCAGTAAATTGATGTGACTCCAAGTGTTTGTTTCTTTCTTCATTTCCAGTGTTAGCAGCTCTAAACCAGGAAGTTCAGACTACTTAGCACTTTATCTGTCTTACCCAGGGTTTTGTTTTGATTTTCCTAGTGTGGAGAGGACCTAATTTTAGGTCTTCCACTTGAGATTTTATGTCCTGTGCTTCAGAGATGCTCAACACTTTCTTCATGTGCATGCAATTAATGACCCCTGAATTTTCCATAAGAGACAGAGGTCAGCACTTGCAGTTCTTAAAACTGCTGGAAGAGAAATGCATACTTAATTGTTGACCTGAAGAGTCATCGGAAACCTGGGGTGTGAGGCTGAACCCTGAATTTGGATTTAAGTTCATAGTCTGTCAAAATAGTGCATTGTGCTGAGCTTGCTTGAACAGGAACTAATTTTGTAGAATGGTATTTTCTTTTGCTTGCAATCCACTTCTGAGATTGGAATCAAGGTCTGCAACGATAATGAGCACTGTCTACACCAATGTATGCAATGTTCTTCCTACATTATTTAAACCCTAATTTTCACAATCATGGCTTTTCTTCCTTCAGGATCCTGCTTCTTTGTCAGTACTTCCCTTCAGTTACCTCCATGTTGGTTCCTGTAGTAATGGCCTACCCTCCCTATCCCTTTAATTAATGAGATACTTATACCTTCCGTTTGCACTGCATACATAAGAGGAGATTGCTTATTCAAAGGTGAAGACTCCCTTTAGTATCTTGCTGTTCTTAAGGACACTGTCTGCCTGTCTTTTCCATTTGCATGTTATCACTCTCTCCACCTGCATGTCAGTCTGAAAACTGCTTTGATACCTGTAAGATATGCAGCGCTGTTCTTCAGGAATAGATGCAGACATATCAAATCAGAAATTACAGTGGAACCTATTCATGGTGAATTCAGGTTTGTTAAAGCTCCATTGACACGGCAGAGGAATTCATTAAACATTACTTAATTGCAAATCAACTTGCGTAATTACACATGCAGTAGAAGTCTACTTAGAATGCAGTGTAAAGTGATGCCTTCAGTACAATAGGGTTCTACTATACTTATCCAAGATGAGTGACTTGTAATTAAGTATGCAAGAAACAGTTCTCTAAATAAAACATTAAGCTGTGTGTGCTAGCCCAGTGCATGCTCTGTCATGTGTTCTTCAGTTTTATCGCTATTGGCATTCATTGTAGCAAACAGCAAAAACTAATTAGAACTTTAACTATTAATATGTCCTCTTGATACTTGTTCTGTTGGTGTCTTTGTCAGCTAAAAATTGATGGGAATGTTTTTTCTTCTTTTGTTCCCAGGACGATGAGCCTCCCACCAAAGGGAAGAAGAAGAAAAAGAAAAAGGAGGAAGAGATCGATATTGATGTGGATGACCCAGAAGTCAGCCGCTTTCAGTATCCCTTTCATGAACTGATGGTATGGGCCGTGCTGATGAAACGGCAAAAGATGGCAGTCTTCCTTTGGCAGCGAGGAGAGGAAACCATGGCCAAGGCACTTGTGGCCTGTAAACTGTACAAGTCTATGGCCCATGAGTCTTCTGAGAGTGAGCTGGTGGATGACATCTCTCAGGATCTGGACAACAACTCAAAGTTAGTAGACACAGAGCAGACTATGTCTGCTTGATATATGGGGTTGCCTGACCTGCTGAGAAGCTTTACTTTTCACAGAATCACAGAATGGCAGGGGTTGGAAGGAACCCCTGGAGATCACCTAGTCCCACCCCCCTGCTAAAGCAGGTTCATCTAGAACAGGTCACACAGGAGCACGTCCAGGCAGTTTTTGAATATCTCCAGGGAAGGAGACTCCACAACCTCCCTGCGCAGCCTGTCGCAGGGCTCTGCCACCCTCAATGTAAAGAAGTTTTTCCTCATGTTCAGATGGAACTTCCTGTGCCCCAGTTTGGGCCCGTTGCCCCTTGTCCTGTCACTGGGCACCACTAAAACAGGCTGGCCCCATCCCCCTGACACCTGCCCTTTAGATATTTGTAAGCATTGGTAAGGTCCCCTTTCAGTCTTCTCCAGGGTAAAAAGCCCTGGGTCTCTCAGCCTTTCCTTATAGGAGAGATGCTCCAGTGCCCTCCGCTGGACACTTTCCAGTAGTTTGCTGTCTCTCTTGAACTGGGGAGCCCAGAAGTGGACACAGTACTGCAAGTGTGACCTCACCAGGGCAGAGTAGAGTGGGATGATAACCTCCCTCGACCTGCTGGCCACACTCTTCTTAATGTACCCCAGGGTAGTAGTAAAGTAAAGTGCTTTTAGTAAAGTACAGTTGATTTCTAGAATATAGGTTCACAGAATGCCATTTGCAGCTGATTAATCAACAGTAAACAAGCCAGAATGTGGTCTCACCATCTGAAGGCAACACTAGCAAGAAGACTACCTGCATTTTTCCTGACAGAACACATTCTTTCTTCAGCTTTTCTCTCTTTAAAACCAGCTAGCTTTATTTGACAAAGTTATTTTCAGGGTTTACTTGCATAAACTAAGGGGCATCTGATGATATATCCAAAACGGCCTTAAGATGTTATCAGTCTAAGCTAATTCTCTCTGGTCACTAAAAATTTGTTTGGAACTTTTGTAGAAGGTCCCAAATCAAGCTTGAGACTCGGTTGTTCTTGTCATTGTATACATGTGTGGAAAAACATGACCCCCTGAGACAGGAATTAAAACCCCAAATGCAAACAAACACTGATTTCTAAATCAATCTTCACTGGACTTACCTTGCATTTTCTAGAGATTTTGGCCAGCTGGCTGTTGAACTCTTGGATCAGTCCTATAAACATGATGAGCAGATTGCCATGAAACTACTAACCTATGAACTGAAAAACTGGAGTAATTCTACCTGCCTGAAATTGGCTGTGGCAGCTAAACACAGGGACTTCATTGCTCACACGTGCAGCCAGATGCTCTTAACAGATATGTGGATGGGGCGACTACGCATGCGAAAAAACCCAGGCCTTAAGGTATTTCTGTTCTGCAGTTGTTGTCAAAGATATAGTTTGTTGCATGTAACACTACATTATACATACTGTATGCATAGAACAAATTGGCTTACTAATTACAGATATTTTAAGAAAATATGTGTTTTAAAGCTAATTTTTTTGTGTTTCCAAATTTAGGCTAGCTAAGGAACATTACCCCATGACAAAGGAAAATATAAATCCGTAAAAGGCCTAGCATGGTTGGAATCTGAGAGCGAAGTTGTGGCTTTCAATAAATGATGAGATCTGTTAATTAAAAACATACACATTTGACTAAAAATTAGTTGGAAACAAGCAAAAATTATGGTGTCCACGCAATGGGAACAGACAGAAAATGAACAAGATATCGACACATGCTTCTTACATTGCTTAACATTGTACCAGAAGACACAGAGTCAAGACTCGGTGTTGAAAAGAATAAAATCTGTGCAATTGCATTGTGTGAAACTATGCGATTTTTATTTCCTTCTTCTGTGACTTTATGACATGGTCTCTCTTATTGATTTTTTTATTTCCTGATTGTTAGATTTACAAAATAATCAAGTAATGTGAGGAGGCTGGCACAAAGGAGTGAGCCAACATTGAGGAAGCAGAGCAGTGTTTGCTTGTGTGTTCTTTCACATGAATATAATCCTTTGTCATGTTACGCAGTTGCTGTCACGTGTATGGAGGCCCATTGTGATGGTGTCACCTTCAGTCTCACCTCCTTAATTCTCCAATTACTGACAAAGTGCCATGCCTGTCTTCCCAGGTCATACTCACAAGCTTGCTGACATACACATTGTACTCTCTCTGTTATTCCCAATTTATTTCCACTTTCACATATCTCCCTCTTAAACCTATTTAAAATCTTCAGGCAAGCATCTGGCCTTTCAGATTGCATCATGATGCTTTTTGAATCTGTTTATTGACTTCCTTTCTTTTCTCCAAAAGATTAATCAGCATACTAACGTTTTAGTTTCATTACCTGCATTCTTTTCTTTGCTCCTTCTCTGTACTGTAGCAACTCATGCTTGTGTTTCTATATCTCAGCAATCTCATATAGTAAAAGAACTCTCCCAGTGCTATCTGCAAAGCTTCTTTTACTTTTCACAAGTTTTTTATTCTATTGAAACTAATTACAGTAGGTGACTAAAGTAACTAAACTCCAGTAACAAACTTGAAGCCCTCTTCCAACTGCCACTGTGTCCATTCCATGGAATTTCTCTGCACAACTCTAATTCTGGAGGACAATGTCTTAATTTTAGTGTATTTGTGGAGACAGAAAGCCTTCAGGGTGCCATCTTTCCATACAAGACCTTATTGCCAATGCTTCATAAGTACTACTTATTTATTTTGTAGGTTTGAGGATAGCAGAGTATCTTGAATGCTAGACAAAAAAAAAAAAAATTTATGGGATTTGCTTTGTTATGAAATCTCTTAATGTAAACAAATATTGCCACCTGAGTTTAATTCTTTCTTGTTGTACAGGTTATAATGGGGATTCTCTTCCCTCCCACCATCCTCTTCCTAGAGTTTCGGAGTTATGATGATTATTCTTACCAGACATCAAGAGAAAACGAGGAAGGCAGAGAAAAGGAGGAGGAAAATGTGGTCAGTAACGGAGATTATTAGGAAGTTCTAATATCTCAAGAGTGCTCAGTGTTCTAACTTCTCTGATTATGCTATAGGTCACTCAGGTTAAAATCTCAACTGCCTCTGTGCGATAAAAATCAGTCAAGAGTTTGGGAGTGTATAGGCTGAATTCTCAGGGCATGTAAATTATCTGTGTAGTTGCACAGATTTATGGAATTCATCTTTTTAAAAGAGGTCTGCTGCTCAGAGGAAGCATCATGTAGTTAACAGCTGGCTGGGGCTGTAGCTGAGGAAAATCTACTATTTTTACTATTGTATATTGACGAAAACTGAGAACTTCCGTCTTCCAGGATGCAAATGTGGATACAGGCTCCCGAAAAGGAGATGAAGAGAATGGAAAAAAAAACCAGAAGAGCCTTCCAATTGGAACAAAGATCTATGAATTCTATAATGCACCTATTGTCAAATTTTGGTTCTACACGGTAAGTCATGATGATCAAACTGATAGTGATCATTTTTCTCACACCTGTGAAACAATATAGTACTGACTTTCATGCAATCTGATGAGTAAACCACTCCCTTTTTTTGGAGAAAAATGCATAGACAAACAGAATGAAGAACTGAAGTTTATGCTGTTAGCCTCTAAAGGTCCTCCACACTTTGAAGGAGTCCCTCTCTGGCTAATCATATGCCAAACTCAGCGCAAGCTCCGCAATCCAGTCACTCAATCTGAACTAGGCTGGATTTTTTTGCTTTCTAAAGGCTCTGGCTCCTGTTCTGTGTCAAAACATGCTTTAGGACTCAAGAAGTAATGCCACAGTATCAGTGCTCACCATAGTTCTGTCGACAGGCTAAAATGAGTGCAACCTAGATGGAAGCACAGATCCCAGTCTAAGTCTTAATAGGTACTTTTCTCTTGTTTAAATAATGAAAACAAATCTAAACTAAAATTTTAATTTTGACAAGCATCTCATTTTCTCTGTAGTCCATCAAGAATAATCTGGTGCTAAACTGTTTTAATAAAACATATAAGCTACTGCTTATAAATTTTGTGTGTGCCTGTAAAAAGGATACGGATTTCTTTTTTATTGAAAGTTAGGACTTCCAATACCTAGTACGTAGGTTTTTAGTTTTAGCACATATTAATCACAAAACACTGTACCGATCCCTTTCTGCTGCCTGTGTTAATAATTAAAAAGCAAAATTCCAATTTAATTTCAAAGAAAAGTATTCAACATGGTTTCACAGCATAAAGAAAATACATTTTAGTAGATTAAAAAAGCCCCAGACACAAAGGGCCTGATTTAGAGTGCTTTGGAATTGTTTTACTTCTTTCAACAAATGAGATAATTCAGCTGTCTGGATCATATGTTCCACAGCGTCTATCATTCCTTCAGCTGCTGGAGGCCCATGGCCTCTTCCAGCATGCACAGCAGCTCTAGGAAGGGCATTGCAGCAGGCCTGCTTCCTTCAGAGAAGAAAATCTTTTTTTCTTGTGCAAGTAAAGATCTTCAACAGCTGAATCTTTCACACATAGCCTCAATGTATGTCTTCATAGACGTTCATATGAATGTCATAATTAGGGTGGGCTTCATTTTCATGCATTATGCAGGCCCCTCAGCTAACAAGATTTTACTGTCTTCTGGTTGGTGTTTCTTCTCTGACATGGTGATGCAGCCTTCCATGCTCTTACTGAATCAGGCTTCAGCAAGAAACTTGCGCCTATATACTAGGGGCTACTTAAAGTAACCAAGATACCTCCAACCGTACTGTTCATGCCGATAGGTTTAAGTAACAAGTATAGAAAGACATGTTTAAGGACTGATACGCGAAGTCTGTACGCCTCTGGCTTTACACAAAGAGTATATTCTGCCTAGATGATCTCAACAACATTGTTACAGGGTGGAGAAAAGCAAGTGGCCCGTGTGGCTTTTTATTTCCCCCACCCCTCTAGGCAAGTGCTGCTCACAGCCCCGCCTCCCCATTCTGCTTTAGATCTGTTTTAAGGTGGTGGATAGACATTTCACATGGAATATCTCATTCTTTAGAAAACTCGATTTTCTCCCCGGAAAATCTTTTGATTTATTACTGCTTTGATTCAGATCTTTTTTCCTGCAAAGCCATTGAATCCATTTTGGTTTCTTGACTCTGGATTTCCAAGATCTCTGAAGTTTTTAGTTTGGCCAGTCAACAAAGACTGCTGTGAGGCATGGAGACACCAAAACGGCCAGTTTGACATTTACCCCAGTAGTTATAGAAAAGTAAATGACAGCTTTATTGACTTACACTAATAGCCCAGAACTTCCTAAATGAAATTAGTGGAGACTGTTTTGGGGTTTGTTTTTTTTTTGTGTGTCTAAGACATCTCAAGTAATTGAATACTGCCTAACTGTGGAAGGATCCTGGGGTCCATCACCTAAAGTCCATAAAGGATTTCTTTTTACTTTTTTCTTTTTTTTTTTCCCCCCAGATATCATACCTTGGTTACTTGATGCTATTTAATTATATTATCTTGGTGCGGATGGAACGGTGGCCATCAGTCCAGGAATGGATTGTCATCTCCTACATTGTGACATTGGCTTTAGAGAAAGTAAGAGAGGTAAAGTCCAATCATACTAACATCACCTAATCCTTAAAATGAAGCTTGCTCTTAGAGGTAATCATGCCATGGACTTGTGCAGAGGGTTGAGAAACCATACACAAGAGAAAAGATTCTCATACCCACAGAGTCCCAAAATGTCCATCACCAGAGAGAGTTTAATTCATAACCCATTTCCATGCATTAAAAGTTTCTCTTTTGGGGCAAAAAGGTCAGGCAAAAATGCCCTGAGATCAGTAGTCAAGATGAATGCTGTCATTCTCTTACGTGTATTTCCAAGGAAAGGCAGGGCCATAACCCATGAAGGAAATCTCAATAGGTACTGTCCTTTTCTTACTAATACAGCCCTTGACTGCAGGCAGAGACGTGCTTTGAAGAATTAGCCAGGAGTGCTATTTGAATGATGTCATTACTTTTGTATGAGGAAGGTAGCATAAAAACTTCTACTATATTCACAGGCTGTCATGTGGTTTGCACTTAGCCTGTCCTTCTCTGATTCATGATTCCCACATCTCATACTAATTTTATTTGGAGATAAATATGGATGCCATGTCAGTAAGCCAGATCTCCTGGTTTAAATGTTACTGATTAAAACCTACCAAAAAAAAAGGCTTACCAAAGCCAAAATAGAAACAAAGATGAAAAGGGGGTCCAGAGGAGGGCCATGAAGATGATTGGGGGCTGGAGCACCTCTCCTATGAAGACAGGCTGAGAGAATTGGGGTTGTTCAGCCTGGAGAAGAGAAGGCCTTATAGCAGCCTTTCAATATGTAAAGGGGGTTTATAAAAAAGACACAGAGAGAAACTTTTTACCAAGGCTGTAGTGACAGGACAACAGGCAACTGCTTTCAACCGAAAGAAGATAGGTTTCAATTGGACATAAGGAAGAAATTTTTTATGATGAGGGTGGTGAGACACTGGCACAGGCTGCCCAGAGAAGCTGTGACTGCCCCTCCCTGGCAGTGCTCAAGGCCAGGCTGGATGGGGCTTTGAGCAACCTGGTCTAGTAGAAGTTGTCCCTGCCCATGGCAGGGGGGTTGAAACTAGATGGTCTTTGAGGTTACTTCTAACCCAAACCATTCTATGACTCTATGAAAAGAAGAGTTTGCCTGCTAGTAATTAAAAATACCGCTGATTGAAACAAATTTTTCTGGCTGTGGAGGGGTTCTTAGACACCTATTGAATGTGACAAGATTGGTCTTTTTTTCATGACCGTTACTTCAAAAATGTAACTTGGAGTTTTTCCTAGTGATTTCTTTGTTGGTTGTTTTTTGTTATTATTTTATTTTATTTTATTTTATTTTATTTTATTTCAGATTCTGATGTCAGAACCTGGCAAGCTGAGCCAAAAAGTGAAAGTTTGGCTCCAGGAATACTGGAATATTACTGACCTGGTGGCTATTTCAGTATTTATGATAGGAGCAATTCTTCGCCTACAGAACCAGCCTTACATGGGTTATGGAAGAGTGATTTACTGTGTAGATATCATTTTCTGGTACATTAGAGTACTAGATATTTTTGGTGTGAACAAATATCTGGGACCTTACGTCATGATGATTGGAAAGATGGTTAGTGCCTAAATTGCTGTAAATTATGTATTTCAGAACTTCATGGGAAATGAAATTCAGTTCTGATTTTAAAAAGAGGTTTTTCATCTGAGTAGGACTCTGAACTGTGAAAAAGTTGCCATGTGAAATTCACACACATACGAGATGCAATACTGTTGCTAATAATTGCTCAATTTGAAAGGGAATAGTTTATTCTTTTTTTCCTTTTTTCCTTTTTTCCTTTTTTTTTCTTTTTTTCCTTTTTTTCTCTTTTTTTCCTTTCTTTTTCTTTTTTTTTTTTGACCCAGCTTGTGGAAACTTTTTCACTTTGCCTTCCTTCTGCCCCCAAAAGCCATAGCAATGACAGATTACCAATACACTGGGATTGTCCTCAAAACCATCAGTTGTGGACAGGAGATGATACAGCAATGATTATATCATCTCTTCGCAGCCACAGGAGAGGTCTGTGCTGAAGTATAGTGCACTTGACGCAAAAGAGTATAGGCATAGCAAAGATTTTGCCATTTTAAGTCTTTTAAAATATAAATCTAGTATTCCTTTAAATGACTGTTTTTACTGCATTTTTATGTGTGCTTAATTCATGAGCAGCAGTTAAAGAATCATATCAGGAAAATTTCCAGGAGAATGTGTTTGTTCTCTTGATACTTTCTTGTTCACTTTAACGCATGCTGGCAGACAGACATGCTGGTGCGGCTGTACTACCTGGTGATGATAAGAGCCTCTGTATGGTCTCTCTGTGCAGATGATTGACATGCTCTACTTTGTGGTCATCATGCTTGTGGTTCTGATGAGTTTTGGGGTAGCCCGCCAAGCTATCCTGCACCCAGATGAGGAGCCTTCTTGGAGACTAGCTCGCAACATCTTCTACATGCCCTACTGGATGATCTATGGAGAGGTGTTCGCAGACCAGATAGACCGTAAGAGTAGAATTCATAGTAAGAGTCTGTTTCCTGTTTCTGAGGCAGATGATCAGATCCAAATTAATGATTGTTTTTAATTTGGAAGTAGTGTTTTGTCTTTGTGATTATATTGTTGTTGTTTTCCTGTGACAGACTCCAGAGACTGAACAATTTTCTGTTCCGCCCCTCAGTTTATATTCAAATTCAGTTAACACTGAGAGTGATACAGTCTGGAATACTCTCCTGTCCAAGAGTATAACAGTATTAAGTGTTCTGTTTACTTGCAGGGATCAACAAAGATCATTCTGAAATGTTTTTTTTTGAACCACTGTTTTACTAATAGTCAGTTCCAATAGAAGAAGAAAAAAATAAATACCTTGCTCAGGAGATGAAAATACATGTATTTCATCTCCAATTCTCAACACAGGCAATGAGCTAATATATTTTCACTCCCATTGATACATTTATCTACTTTCCAGAAATGTTTCCATTTCATGAATCACTCATATTCTTCTCTTCTACACCTGTGGAAAACCAAAACAAAACAAAAAAGGAAAACTCCACTTGATTTGCTTTGGGTGTGAAAATAGCCTTTCTCATATAAAAGCTGCATAGTTTAAAAAAATAACTGTTGGTATTTTAGAGGAAATGGAAGCTGTCTTGTTACTGCTAGTTTTGTGTTAATATTTGAAATTTGTATAGGCAGTCAAACATGCAGCTGGCCTCCTCTAGTTCACATCTCACATAGTTTGCACTTTATCTGAAATAATATAAGCTGCTATTTCAGCATTGTGTATGTGTTATTTTATTAATCTGCATATATTGACAAATGGTGAAAGCTGAAAAAATTGTGAGGTCTAAGTTAAAAAACCATAAAGATCCATCATCATGAGAAACCTTTATACCAAATGTCATTAAAGTGTACTTTAATTGCTTAGAAAGGAACAAAATGTCATTAGTCTGTTTCTGAAGTGTACACTGTTGCAAAGATCTTATGATCTTCATTTTCCTTACGAATGCTTGTCTCATTAAAGTAACTTACAATGCAGTAAATTACTCTTGACAAATAAAAGGTCAAGCCAGTCATTTATTGTCTGATATTGCAGTTTCAGTGCACATGTGAGCCAGAATAAGCTCAGGATTCCTCAAGTGGGTTAATTCTCCCATGGGGAAGAATAAACTGTAACAGGGTATCCCTTACCTTTGTGGCTCATAATGTGTATTCAAATCCTACTTCACTTTGACTAAAGAATGTTTGCCAATGTAGATAGTTTTCTTTCTTTATAAACCAAAACTCACACCTTACCAACAATACTCATATCTTTAGTGTAAGTGGTGTCCCAGACTACTCTCATGTTTCCAGTCATTTCTCAGTTATCCACTCAGCATCCTTTGAATTAGAAATCTTTCTTCAGCAGCACAAAAGATTTTAGGGAAAAAAAGATTGAGTTTTCCAGTTACACAACTTCAATCCAGCTATTTGCTCCCTAACCTTCCCAGGTCAGAAGCTTTGCTGTGTCAGCTAAACCGTAAGCTAACCTGGAAACATACTGTTTTGTTGTTTCTTTAATATTGAAATAAAAGTGGCTACACAAGGAGTTCTACTAGTATAATTAGACTGCATTACAATTATTCTGTAAATTTCTTCTATCTAGAAATCTATGGACTGAATTCTGAAGATCTTTTTGCTTTCAATAAGAAGTTTTCACTCTGACCTTTCCGTGATTCTCTGTAAACACACCACAAAAGCAACCTCAGAAGTCACTGAGGAGTGATTGCTATGGGCAGTCAAACCTGACTCTGTGTGAAGTGCTTATGTGTAGTTTTGCAAGCCCCACGAGTTTAAAGAATTTATGGAAAAATATTACATCAAGTTTTCCATCTGATAGAAGGTGTTTGGACTTTTGTCAATAGCTTCACTGACGATAGGAATTGCTGAGGTTGGAAGGCACCTTTGGAGATCATCTAGTGGAACTTTGCTGCTCAAAGCAGGGTAAATTAGAGCAGGTTGCTCATGGACTGTCCAGTCAGGATTTTAATATCTTGAACGCTGAAGATTGTGAAGCCTTTCTGGACAACCTGGTTTAAATGGAATTTCCCTGTATTTCTGTCTTTGACCACTGCCTCTTTTCCTTTCACTGGATGATACCTCTGAGAAGAGTCTGGTTCTGTCTTCTTTACTCCCACCCACCATCAGGTATTTATAACATTGGTAAGATCTCCCTTGACCCTTCTCTTCTCCAGGCTAAATTATCCCTTTACTGCAGTCTTTCTAGTATGTCCATGTCTGATTTCTATGGAGGAGCCCAGAACTAGACACCCAAGTCCAGATGTGGTTTCACCAGAGCTGAGTAAATGTGAATAATTATCTCCCTGAACTTGCTGGTAACACTTTTCCTAGTGCAACCCAGGATGCTCTTGTCTGGTTCACTCCATTTAGATGTCCATGAGCAAGAAGTTAATGGCATCTAGTATGCAACAACAACATATTCTTAAACAACAGAGAAGCCTAGCTGACTTTATTTCAATAGTGTGATTTTTCGTAAAACCGCCATGTAGTGGTTGGCAAGCAAGTAGTACTGGTAGTCAAAATGGGCTTTAATGATATTGTAAACTGTAATAACATCAGTATCATGATTATTAACATGCCACGTAGAAACATAGTGATTCAATACAGACAGCTGGCAGACTCAAAGCCAGGGTGGTTCTTAAAAAAAAAAAAAAAAAAAAAAAAAAAGGAAAAAAAAGGAAAAAAAAAGGAGGAAATGTTTTCATAACAGCTAAAACAATGATTTTGTGTGATAATGTTGAGTTGTTTTGTGTTCATGGTGACCACCAGTTTTGTTTACTTGCCTGAAATATCCTGTATATTTAAATGATCATCTGCCAGAAGCATTTTGTGATTTATTATTATCATGAATTCACTGCCGTATGTAACATTTGGGGAAGACAACATGAAAAGGAAATTGCAGAATGCAAGGCATTTTTAACAAAGACATTGTTTCTAAGCATATGCCTCTACTGTTCTGACATTTGAGTTGCTTATCTTTTCTTGGCGGCAAAACTGTATTTTCAATCATTTTTTCGTTGGTGTTTTTTCCTGTATTATTCTATTGTTTTCTTTCTTTCTCTCCCTGCCTCCTTTTCTATTTTGTTCCTTTGGAATGCTGTTCAGTCTATGCCATGGAAATTAATCGTAAGTCTCTCTGAAGAGCCGATTATCTCATTTAGCTGGATATGTTCATTAATTTTTTTCTTCACTAGATACTGATATTTTAATTATAGGGCTCATCCAATATTCAAGTCTGAATCTTGTTTTTCTACTGTAATAGTTTCATTTGAAAAGAAGTCGAGGAAAAATATTTTATTTTAACACAGACTGCAGATCAGAAGTTTTAATTGAGTTTATGTGGTTGCTATGACTTGTTTCTAGTATATTGACAGTAAAATAATCCTTTTTTTAAATTATGACGCATGTGTGTCATGGTATAACTCATTCCCTTTGATTGCCTAGATACTGCCAAAGAAACACTGTTTGTGTTTCTTTGGTAGTACTTTCATTGGTCCACGTGAATAATATTACGATTTGCTTGACTTTCCTGTTATACTTTTCTTATGATAAACAGGAACAATGTAGGTCTGATGTTTGAAAACCAAGTAAAATATATTTTATTAATCATAGTTTAAATATCTTTTTCAGTCCACAGTAAATAAGATTAGTCTGTTTTCAAATCATGTGAAGTGTTTTTCAGTTTAGGTTGAAGCACTGGGTTTTTTGCAAAACGCTTAAAAACCTGGTTTGTCTACTCACGTAAACATGATCCATAAACACTTTACTTGCTACTAAATGATTCCAAAAGTTAGCCTTGTATTTGAAATCAGATACGCTGGCACTGCACTTAAAGACAGAACAAACCTGCTGCATTTACCCAACTCCAAGACAGCTTTTACCCCAGGACAACCTATATATTCTTAGGATTTCTTCAGGCCATTATTTTATATCAGTTTGATCAATATTCTCAATTTTTGTCTCATTCTCACCAGTCTATTTTGCTGTTATTATATCATTTTTGTGTTATAATTTTATCTCTTTGGTTTAAAATTTTATCTAAAATGTAGAATTACTGTGAAAAATAAGGGAAACAGAAATTGGGCCAAAAGTGGCAGCAGGGCCACCTGCTGGTAACAGGAACAGCCCCAGATGGGACAACTAATAGTCTAGGGTCCATCTAGGGAGCCCAGTCAGGGGCAAAAGGAGACAGGGCCAAAGACAGAAGAAGGGTCCATCCAGGGGACAAACACAGGTCCAAGGTCCATCCAGAAGGCAGGGGAAAGACCTGCACACCTGACGGCTCAGGCAGGGACATGTATGCACAGGGGGTGTAAGTGCAGAGCCCAGGTGAAGCTGGTCGGGATCATTAAGGCTTCTTTAGTACACTCATGGCCTCAATAAAGGTTTAATTTATGCTCAGCAATCTGGAACCACTAAGTAAATCCTTTATATATCTTTGGCAAGGTATTCACACAAGTTTGGTTGGAGATCTTTTTTTTTAATTGCACTATTAATATGCACGTATGCACATTAAGATCTTGTCCTAGACTATTACTATGAGAAAAAGAATATCCATATGAATTTGAAGAGAAAGCCACACTGCACAGTAAACTTGGAGCTGCCTCTCTGTTCACTATTATGGGAAATTATTTTTGTATGCTGTAGTTAGAAGCAGAATTTGAAGTAGAAAATACACATACTTGTTATTGGAAATAAACTGAAAAAATTTGTTTAGCTTGGTAAATTTTATGCATGTGTCATCATTAAATAAATGTGAATCGTGTTTTGAAGTATCAAGCAATTCGTGAAAAATACATTTCCTGTTTTTTCTTCAGCTCCTTGTGGGGACAATCTTTACGATGATGATGGTAAACGCCTCCCTCCATGTATACCAGGGGCCTGGCTCACTCCTGCTATTATGGCCTGTTACCTTTTGGTAGCAAATATCCTGTTGGTAAACCTGCTGATTGCTGTCTTCAAGTATGTATATGATCATGCACTATCTTTACTTTCTTACTGCCTAGATAAAGCTTCTCTCAGAGCCCATTAACTGATTTTTCAAGGGTTTGCATTCGCACTCAGAGTCTAATTACTCTGTGAACATGACTGACAAATACTTGGAATAGTCTATACTCTGGGAAAAAGTGGAGGAAAGGTTGCTTTGAATTTGCCAGCGAGTGCAGTAATGCGTATGAGAGAATCTGGCTACTTCCACTTACCATTTAGTGTATGGTGACAGGCCTCAGGATTGCTCTGGAAAGATGAAAAACTTGCTACATACATGATAGAAGCCCATGTAACCACTAGCAAACATGATTCTCCGATAGAACTGCAGAATGAAAACCTGAACATCAAAAGCAGGAGGCATTTCCACTACCACTACATCATCTGGCTTCTTTTTCTTTTTTCTTCTTGTTTTGCTTTTCATTTAGAAAAAGAAATTAGGGCCTTAAAGGTTCTTATACTACCCAGGAAAAGTTCTTGCCTTGAAGCAAGAGAAAGGATGACTACACATTGCCAAGATCTGTGTCCAGTCCAAGCAGTGTGCACTATGCACATTCTTAATGTTACTCCACAAGTCTGTATTTAGACGTCTCTGGAGTAAAACTAAATCAATTTATGCCACTTGTTTTCTACCCACGGTTATGTCGCACGCTTTTCCTGTCATGACGTAGGTATTAAAAAATAAAAATTAAAAAAAAATGCTGAAATATCTACTTACTAGTAAGACTTTCTGAACACACCACCTGAGAAAAGCAGGTGATCCATTTTTGATGCCCATATACATGTAGTGTTGGAGGGCTTGTTGGCATAGGTAGCTGGTATCACAACCACAAAAATAGCTCATCGTTTGCCCAGAAAACTACAGCTCACAAAGCCTGTCTTTCATTTGATGTATGTAGCTTAAAAGGTCATGAATTTTAAAGTGCTCAAATGCCAGTCACAGCCTAGGGGGAAGAAGAATCTTACAATGGGAGCTATTATTGGCTGAAGGACCAAGGAATCAGCAGTTTGGGAAGTAGGTCATGCTGTTAACTCCTGCCATCCCAGCATGGTTGCAGGAGGGAGAGATTGTCATTTATCGTTGCCAAATAATCTCAAGTAGACTTAGCCAAAAGAATCCAAAAGCTATGTGTACTCAAGAATTCTCTGATTTCAAAGAGATGTTTTAACTGGTTTTGTGAATATAGATATTCTAAAGCACAGAAAGTTAGGAAAGAAGTGGACAGAAAATACAAAAAAGGAAGCGCCAATATCATCATAGAAGTGGAGCAAGCTGTCTGAGCATGCTTTAAAATAGCTTGAAAAGCTTCATCTAAGACAGAACATCAAGTCTGCTTTCTCTTAGTTGGTATTTCGTAACCCTAACTATTGTTATGTCTGGATTGAATACTATCACTTATACTCCTTCCTACCCACTGAATTACCAAAAACCATTTTTATAACACACCTTATTTTGGTATAGAAATAGTAAGGTCATAGCTTCCAAAACCAAATTCCTTTACAAGAATATGCACCATGTTTTTAAGTCAGAAGTTTGAGAGAATAAAGTTTGAATTTAGGACGTTTTGTGAAAACTTTAAAAGTCTTCTATGTAGGTCAAAATGATTAGCATATTAAAGGTAAACTATGCGAAGCTTCTGGGTTTCGCATACACAATACCTTTCATGGATTTAATACTTTGTGTAATATCAAATACTGACATGTATTAAAAGGAATACTTCATAACCAAGCTCCAAAATACCAATTATGTGATTCATAAAACACGCAAGTTTATTTTCACTAACACTTAAAGGACTTTATACAGTAGGAGCAAATAGTCTAAGAGGACAACTGTTCTGGGTGGTACATAAGGCATGCAGAGCACCTACCTTGCTACCCTGAAAAGGAGTAGTGAAATCATGAGTTCAAGTTATTCATCAGTTCAGCAAGTCCAGCAGCATCAACAAAGAGCTGAACCAAGCAAGTCATGTGGCCTCATGTTGGTACTTAGCTGGTACTTTTTTCAAAATAGTACTTGCTCAATGATAAGTAAACTTAGGGGCCTAATAGAAACCGTACCTATGTTCACTTTCAGCAATACCTTTTTTGAGGTAAAATCAATATCCAACCAAGTCTGGAAGTTCCAGAGGTACCAGCTGATCATGACATTCCATGACAGACCTGTCCTCCCGCCACCAATGATTATCTTCAGCCACATCTACATAATCATCAAGCGAATCTGCTGCCGCTGCAAGAAGGGTGAAGGAGATCCAGATGAGCGTGACAGGGGGCTGAGTATGCAAGAAATCTTCTCTAAATTGAGCTCTTTGCACCGTATTAGCAGAAAGCAGCAGCTCTTCCAATGCTGAACTATTTTGTTCATGTTGATGGTCAAGCGTATTTGCAGAAGACAGTATGGGACAAAATTGCTACCAAGTTAACAGCTCTTGAGCTCTGTGGGCTCCTGAGAATATGCAGTGCTGTGCTGCTAATAAAGACTTTCTATAACACACTTTCTTGAAACAGTGAGATGGCATCTACTTAATCCAGTTTTACCAAGTTCTAGCGAAGTCCGTATGTTGGGAAGAGCAAATAGGAAATTGAGAAGAAGCGATTGCAGTTTCAAATGTCAGCTGTAGTGTCAGCTCTGTGATTGTGAGCAATCTATGTCTAAAATTATCCTCACTTTTATTTCTCCATGTTAGAGATTTATCTGTCATTTCACAAGAGAACTGTGAGGCGGCTTCTCCTAACATACTCTATACTTGTTGATTATTATTATTTTCATTATATGCCTCATTGAAATAATCAGATGCTCACCATTATCCCTGTATTTCTACGTTTCACAGGAAATATGTTTTGTAATTATATTCCTGCACAATATGCTTCTGAGTTAAAAAAGGAAAAAAAAAAAAAAAAGGAAAAAAGTAAATTTGACACTTCCTCTAAATACAAAGAGACAAATTCAAATAAAGGATGAATTGTTCCTAAGATTTTATATTTCCCTTGGATTTTCTTTACATGATTATAAATTTTTGAAGCTCTTATCCAAAGAATGTCTGGGAAACAATTTGTTATATTAGATTATCCATTGGCTATAACTGGCATCCTTTTAAGAAAAATATTTGAATGAAGGAACAGTCAAACTGGCAGAGATTTCCTTAGTCCCTGTAAAATCTAGGCAGTTTGTTCAATGCCTAGCACTGCTGTTAAAAAGTGCAAAGGTAATTAACAAAATACAGCCCCCAGTGGTCACAAAAGCAGATCACAGAATCACAGCAATGATCATATTGCCTTCAGGGCTGTGGCCATCTTTGGCTAAGCGCTCATTCCCTAATTACCAAATCACCTGTTCATTTAGTGCAGCAGTAGAATCTACAGTAGCCATATGTTCAAAATAATCTGCTAAATTGAATTTAAATTGACTGCTAGAAGTTCGGGAAAAGAAAACTCATATTTTCTGTTCTTCTGTTTTGCACAGAGTTATTTCTGAATGATGAAGAGCTGAAAAAACTGTATGAGTTTGAAGAGCAGTGTGTAGAAGAATACTTCCAGGAAAAAGAGGATGAGGAGCAATCATCTAATGATGAACGCATCAGAGTTACCTCTGAAAGGTACCTACTATAAGAAAAAAAAAACCACACCACTTTTTGGGAACAATATTTGCTTTTTTATGTCTTCATTACAACCAAAGTTGAGTTAAAGTACAAAAGATTCAGATCTTGAAGAAAATCACCACCAGTTCAGAAGCCGATCTGAATCCTGAGTAAATACTTGTGATGGGGCATCTCTTGCAAGAGTAAGCTTTTTGTTGTTCCTACTGGTATATCACTAGGGCTGCTGGTTTGGGTAGCTTTGGTATAAGGACAGTTTTGTTCAGGCAGAATTTTTTCCCTCTCACCCATCTGAAGATCACAGTTATAGTTTTTTATCTGTTTGAGCAAATTACTACTTTTTGAGCTGCCAACAGCTCATCCAACCATGAAAATCATGTTGGAACTGAATGACAAAAGCACTGAGGATTTTTCACTTGGACCTATGGTTTACACTAGGGTCCAGCACTCACAACTGCTGAATTTTAATCTCAGCCACAGATTCTCTTGGAAGCTCTGAACAAGGCATTTAGCTTTTCAGTACAAACTTCCCCATTATCACCCAACAGTGATAACGTCAGCAGCACCTTTTTACCAGGTCACTCGGCAGGACTGTTCCCAAAGGCTCTGCCTATTGTGTCAGTAGTTCTAAGTCAAAGGATGGGGTCTTTTGCCACTTCCTTGAAATGATGAAAAATTCTCCCTGTAATTCAAATGATACACAGTTTAAGTACTCTTCCACCTAACCTGCCTCACAGTATTTTGATGATCTGTCTGTCTATCTATCTTCCTTTTAAGATTTCTTATGAAGTAGCTCTGTGAGCCATATAATCCTTTAACAGATAAACATTTTTCTTTTGAAGGGAGACCCTGAACATCTTGCATTATCATATGTGAAGTCTGAAAATAGAGAAGTAAATGAAATCTCTTACGTGTATTTGTGTAGTTTGTATCACACTATTTATCCATGGCAATTTGTCAAAATCCTAGGTACTGTGGCAGAGAATAAAGCAGGGCTGGTAAGCCTCACTGATTCACTATGATCTATGGCCACAAAGCAGATTTGCTTATTCTCATGGCTTCTTGCTCCAGATGCTTCATCATCTTTTGTGTGTGAGAGCAGAAGAATGTTAATTTAATTTCCACAGTTGATTTACTAATGTATGATCTCTAAGTCACATTCTAATGCATTACTTTTATATACATTCTTCTGGTACCATCACTTCCATTATGATAGAAATGATAAAAGAAAATGGGGGAAAGTATTATTTTAATGGAACTAGACAATAATTCCACTCCCTTTAGCTGATACATAATTGAAAGGTATTTCAAGAGCTAAAGTAATCCCATACACACCAGCATATGTTCTCTCTCATACAGCTGCTAAACCTGTTTTACACCATGCCTTGATGCTATTTTAAGTCATCCTGTAAGCATGTCATTAGAAAGTGGTTTTCGTATAATTACTTGATGCTTCACAGTGAAAGAGGACCACTGAACATGAAGTGGGTGGCACAGTCAGAAACGTCAGTAGTAGGCTGTCCCTAAGGGCTGCAACTCTTATGCTCTCCTAGCATGTAAATAAGGTCAAAGTTCAAATGGCCCTCTAATATGGTGTATGGAAAGCATAGGGAACAAGAAAACATGCATGCTTTTGATGCTGCACATAAGAAAAAAAGGGTATGCATGATACATAGCCCAACAGTCTGCCTTACGAAGAAATCACTAGCTGGGTGCCTGTAAGGGGTTACTGCACCATTCCACAGCTTCTGTTCTGTGCTTCCTCTTTTATACCCAACAGAGTTGAAAATATGTCTATGAGGCTAGAAGAAGTGAATGAAAGAGAACATTTTATGAAAGCTTCACTTCAAACAGTCGACCTTCGACTCTCTCAACTGGAAGAACTATCTGGTCGGATGGTGAATGCTCTTGAGAAGCTGGCAGGTATTGACAAGTCAGAGCTGACATGTACACGCTCACGGGCTTCGTCTGAGTGTGATGCTGCATATCTCCTAAGGCAAAGCAGTGTTAACAGCTCTGATGGCTACAGCATGTATAGGTACCATGTCGGTGGTGATGAGTTAACATATGATGACAGTACAACTCCTATGTCACCAGCCATGGAATTGCGTAAAAAAGCCCATTCTATTGGTACCAAAGAAGATGGAGCAGACCCAAGGATGCTGGTTCCAGAACACCACACCATTAGCACCTCCAGCACTAATGCAGTCACCACAGCAGATTACAGTAAATCTACATTAGAAATTGCACAGAATGTTTCCAGACCCCATTCTGGTTCAGGTGGCTTGGGGGATGAAAAGCAGGGGATTTTCAAGAGTGATGGAATGGTTCCTCAAAGTATAAACCAGACGGATGCTGTTACAAACAGACAGTCAGTACCAACATCAGATTTTCAGAACACTCAGTTAAAAGTAGAACGTACCAAGTTAGAAGCAACCATCTCTTACCCCTTGGACAAATCTAAAGCAATGCGCTATTTTCCTCCTGAAACATTCAGTGCTTGTCAAACCACTATGATGAAGTCAAGGAGCTTTATATTTGCACAGGGTGGGAAGCTGGTTGAAGGAGTTAACAACTGGACCACAGAGTATAGTACCATCATGGATCAGGTGTGCCCTTCTACAATTGAACAATGGGCCACAGAGTGGAAGTATGAAGTTGAGCAGCAACTTTGTCAGGAACGTCCTCCAGAATACCCTGGGTTTATCTCTGAAGCAGAAAGGCAAGCAGAGCAGAAACAGTTACAGACGGACACAGATGATGACAGTGATGTTGGTGAAGCAGGTATGAGTGCCTCTTACACCTCAATGCCTGCCACTGTCAAGGCTGAGAAAGAGAATTTACTATCAGTAAAGCCAGAAAGGACTTCTGGGTTCCCATCAGTACGGTCAAAGAGTTTGCACAGCCATTCTCGGAAAACCAAGTCTGTAAAGGACAAATTAAATAGACCAGGACATGCCAGCAGTGTAACTAACTTGGTGGTAGCATTTGGCAGTGCAACAGAAGAACAGAAAGCTAGGCAAGAAAATGCATCCACAGAAACGGAATGTTAAAAGTGGCTTATGGTCCCTGTTTTAACAACAGTCAAGAAAGCAGCATGATTAATTGAACAAATTACAGATTTTTAAATTCATTTGTAAAGAAGAATTTTGCATATATTTGTTTCTTTTCATTTTAAAATAGATATATGTTCTGTTCTTAAATAAATGCTTGCTGGGTCAGGTGAAAGGGAAATGTTCTCTCAGGGGCAGATAAAAAGTAGGCACAGTCCGCAGATGCCAACACTATAGATCTTTCTTTGTTCCATTTCAACCTCTCTCATAAGCTCTTTCACTGACAAGCTCTTTGTAAAAGCTTGTGAAAGAAGGACAATACTATCATGTAATAATTTAGAAAATATTTTTCTTCTTCTATATCAGAAGACTTCTTAAACTGAACAAATTTTTAACCACCCTTAGTTTTTATCCTTAGTCATGCAGCCGGTTTCTTTGTGGCCATTGTGTTTTTCAGATCAAAACAAAATTGTTAGAGGCAAGGAAAAATTATGCAGTCCTCTCTTTCACTTCTGATTTCATACATACTTCTTAGTTCCTCTTTCAGAAAGGCACAACATAGCAGTTTTCATCCACAAAAATAGGTCTGAGTGGCAAATACAGTTGTGTTTGGAGAAACCTGACCCAGAAAGCCATGTGTAGACCTATTCTTGACCTCTCCTTGAACTTCAGTGACATAATCTTGTTTTCAGGATCTTATCTGTCCTCACCCCAAAGCATACTGACAGCCTTAAACTGTTAAAAACAGTGATCATTGTTTCAAAATGTTTAGGGAGATTTTAAGTATATGAAGTATACGGAGGTTTTAATAATATGAATCCAACATCTGCATTAGTGCTTTGTATAAATGGGGGTCACAATAGAAGTCCATGTAGAGTAAGGAATCTGGCTTTTTTTACATGCCTGAGAGAGAAAACCAAACAAAACAGGAAAGGTGTTCTGATCGGGTAAGATCAAAATGTAGCCAATCTGTGTTTGAAGCAAATCTACTGTGACAAATTAATCTTTCATTTTGCAGTTTCATTATGATGACACATGAGGAACAAGGAACAGTTTCTAGGAGACAATCTAAACAAAAAATAAATTTTCCAGATAAGAATGAAAATTCCATACATTTTCTTGAGTAAATTTCAAAAACAAATGTCAAAGGTGAAAAAAAGTCCCTACGGCAAAAGTGTTTTCTATCCCTCAATGACTAAGACTGGAAATCCACATCTACAGTTACAGTTTCCCAGCATGCTTGACTCAACAGTGGCATTCCAAGTACTAGGTTTTGATAGTTTTCTTCATAATAGCATTTGCCTCATTCTTTGCTACATTTTAGGAATTTTGTTTTCCCAAATATTCAGCACCTCTCTTTGCAGGGGATGTGTACCATTGAACAGACAAGAAAGCAAATCAGTTAAAGGCCATGAGCCATCAGGACTTACTCATATCCTATTTTGAAAAGACAGAATTTCTTCTTTTCCCCCACCATCAGCTCCATAGTATGTAGGTCTCAGTATCTTTCTTGATAATGCTGATTGCAGCATTTTGAAATGCAGAGATTGATGGAAGACTCTACAAATGCATTGATGGCATCAGCTTTTTATTGTTTGTATTATATTTTCCTACTCCATCCATACTTATACCTTGAAGTACTGTTACTGTACTGAATGATCACGGTAAGTGCATACACCTTTCTGAAAGTTCAGTCATCATTTACTATGGATTTTTGCTGGCTTGGTCTTATTAGCAGGTTTACTGGTTTCACTGTCGTCAAAACAGTGTTGACATTCTGCTTTTCATGTGGGCTTCTCTTTTATTCAGCTTTAGGGAACCTGACATTTTGTAAAAACACATTGACATTTGAAATTATTTCACTTCCATGTTTACTTCTGTGTTACCATTCTATGCACCTACATAGCCATTTTGTATGTGTGGTTAAAATAGCCTCCAATTTGCCAATGCCTTTTTATTGTTTGCCTACACACTCACCAGAAACTGGTTCATTAATGAATACAAAGGGATGCAGCTTTCAGCACTTTGCTGAACAAGCAGTATGCATTGTGGAATGGAATACAGTGTGTTGCATACCTCTTGTTACATTGTCTTTATAAAATGTGTGTTAAATCACGCTCTGTTCGACCAGTTATTTTTTTAGTACTTGCATTGCAAATTTATGAGATAGCATGTAGATTTCAAACAAAAACATTTTACCTTTGTGTTTATTTACTTCCTCTGTGTAAAAATATTTATAAAGAAACACATGAAAAAGATGTGAAATGAACTCAGTATAACAAATTTTTCACTATAATGATATCCAAACACTTAACTTACCTGTTTCTTATTATACAGTGCATGGGCTGAACATTTTCTAAGCAAAGTTTCTTTTTTAACATTTGCCAGTAATTTTTCCATGAAGTTCTCTATACAGTGATGACTTTATAAGGCTTGGATGTTTTCTGTGGTCCTGCATAGCGTGAACTGAAATGATAACCTCTCTGCCATTAAATGTGAAGTAACTACACTGACTTTAGCAGAGTTATTGTTGACATACAGCCATTTTAATAAGATTTAAATATGGCTCTGTATGTGCACAGAAGACCAATAATAGATTTGGAGCACATTAAGCAGAATAACGATCAACACATTTGCATGTCTGCCTACATGCGTTCTTGAACACTGCCTGAAAGGAGGCAAGCACAGAATTTGCATTTCTGAAGGGGCATGTTTAATGGTGCTTTTCAGGAAGACATACCCCTGCTACTCCACAGCAGTGTCACTGTGAATTCCACTTAGCATTTTTCATTATGTGCTTGACCTATACTGAACTAGGTCAAGCCTAAAGAGTATGTGCTCTAAGGCTATGTCTACACAGAGACATTACACTGAGGTAATTTAAGTTTGTTCACCTTACAGTATCTTGCAATACAGACATTTCCCTCTCCCTCAAGGCAAATGTTTTAAACACAGTGACTAATTGTAATATTCACATAGGCAAGTTCTTAACTACACCAGCTGATTCCACGAATTACCCCTTTTTACATTGCATCATTTAGGGACTAGCTTGACTTTGCTCTTGCAAGCCTCTCTTGTAGAGGGGTTGTGCTTTCCATTTTAGACACTGGACTCCGATACCTGAGTACCAAGAAAGTCCATTTTCCATATTATTTAGAAATGAATTAAAGTAACCATTGAAACCTTCCAGCTATGGTTTCTCCATACTGCTTCTTTGGATGCTTTCCTAGGTCCTGGGCTTGACAATCATCTTTGGTAAAATGTATATCTGTCCTTTTAAATAAAATTAAAAGAATAGAAGTATCTGTAAGGCCTTCTCAGAAAACAGGAACATGAGGAGGGAGCATGACCAAGTATGTCAGCAGGATTATTTCTGCAAAATGCAAGGGATTGTGCCCTGTTACAGGTGCTCTGGGTAGTTAACCCACTGACAGAAAGCCAGCTTGCTGCCAAGCACTTGCTATGAAGGAGGTGAGTTTTCAGAGGGACAGGAGCACTTGGACAGGTTGCTGGGGTCCCACCTAGTAGTAGCAATGCCAGAATGTAACTTCTGCACTACTGTCCTGTCTCACTGGTCATTTCTAGTTGAACTAGTGTTACACTCAAAAGCTTGTTATAAGCAAAAAGGAGACACACCTTGTATGTAAAGTCAGGAATTTATTGTTAGTGTAAATTTTAACAGTCTAGCATTTGAATTATTATTAGTCTAGATCTAATTACGAGAGGAGAGACAAGAAGAGAGGTGAGAAAAGAATACAACTACACTACTACAGGAAAAAAACCCAATAAGGTAAAATTGATATATGCATACTTCCTACTATCTACCCCTTTTTTTGACATTATGCTTACACTTGCACTGGTCCTCTGGGTCTAACAGTCAGTGGTTGCAATGGGGGTAGTTGAGGAAATGTTGCCAGCTGTCAGCATCCCAGGTCCTTTGCTAGGATGACCATGATGTTGATGTTGTTTGTTTCTTTTTCCTTATTTTTTGCTTGTTTAGGGGTGCTTTTGTGTTTGCTCCCAACTTTATATCTTGTTTCACTTCATTGGACTTCAAATCCTACAATTACACCTGATTTCCTAGTCATTAGAAAAATTGCTTTCACAGCTAAACAAACGAAGGGACAGCTGGAGGCAGGTTAAGGCAAGTTCAGACAAAGCAATCCTGACAAGCCTCAGTCCTGAGGCCTTACAAAGTCAGCAGAAAGCCTGTGGCCTGGTACTAGCAGTGACAATACTCTACTGAGCTACAAGGCTACATTAGCCCTGGAGGTGTTTTCCTCTCACTACTGCCACTGCAGATAAATGCTCTACTGCATGCAGGGGTCACCCGAGCTGAGTATTTCAGTCTTATTGTGGATTTTGTTCCCCCATTGGGATCCAGCATCAGACAGAAAGGCAAAACAGATGTAAGGACCTGGTTGATATGGCCATTTAATGCCCATTTCAACTGGTGCCAGGGTTCAGGGCGGTTGGGGTAGTCAAAAAACAGTACACAGCAGTAGTTTGGATTGCAGGCTGACAAAGCACAAGCCTTGGGAGAGGTGAGACAAGAACTACAGATTTCCTTAAAACCGCAATCTTCTTTTGCTTTTTTCAACTTTTAGCCTTATTTGCAGAAACAAAACTTGATATGGCAGTGATGCTTTATGGTTGATGCCTTATATCTTTACAATGGATGTAAGGTATGTCTTGATAATAAGCTTTACATTATTCTTTGCAGTTGTTCAGCCAAAATATTTTAAGTGCCTGCACTCACCTTTTGCTTGGTGTTAATGAAAAAGGAGTTGCATAATTTCATCTGCCTGCTCCTCTTTTGTCTCTACAACATTAAAATCCCCATGAAACCACAGTGCTTCATGCTGCATGATTCTAGATGCAAGCATCTCCCTTTTCTTGCATTAACTGGACTGCTATGCTCGACAAGCTATTATCTGAGCAGACCAACAGCTTTCAGAAATGGCCATGGAAAAAGACTGGATTCCAGTTTAGGAGCACTG